AATACGAATTGAAAGAACGCTGCAATTATTTCTCTTTAGAGAAAAACTCCACCCCTCCATCGCAATAATTGGAACTGATTATCTTACTCACGCGATGAAACATGATATTCAACTTTATATTCGTCAAATTTATTCTGATTTTATGTTTCAATACGAGAGAAAAAAAAAAAAGAAAAGATGATCGAAGAATCTGGATCCACAATTGAACGAAATAAAACATAAAATACGAATTGAAAGAACGCTGCAATTATTTCTCTTCAGAGAAAAAACTCCTCCGTCGCAACGATTTTGTTAAATCAGGATTGAATTTTACTATAATGGCATTTTATCGAGAAAGATTATGTTTCTAATTCTTCGTTTTCATTAAGAATGAACGATCGAGGAACAGTTTCCCCTTTGCTCCACGAATTCATTCATTCGACAACTCTCGCCGTCCCGTCCGGAAATTTACTCTATTTTCTTCGAGCCCTCTTGGCTCGCCTTTCGAACCGTTCACGTCGATCGAGCAGGAACAATTCGAGCCCCGAAGGCGAGCCACGAATTGGGGGTTGGGCGAGGAGTAATAATGGACGGAGGGATAAACCCGCGAAGAGACGAAGAGAGAAATCAGGCGAGATCCTTTTGATATTTGTAAACGAGTAAGAGTGTGTGTCTTATATAGACGTGCATGCGGTGTGTAAATACGTATAGATAAGAGATAAATAGATAAATAAATAAAAAGAGTAAATAAATAATTAAAATTCGTAGGTGAAAAAACGTGGTTGGGTGTTTCTCGGTGCTCTATTAGATTCTCGTCGTTTGATTCTGGACGTTCTGGCGAGCTGTCGATAAATATAGTTGCTGCTAACTTTATTATTTACGAGTTTCTTTTGAAAATATAAATCGACGAAAATTTATTTATTATTGTACAATATTGATTTAATATAATATTTAATTTAAGCAGATACGTTCGTGTTGATAGAAAATGTAATTATTAATTACGATTTTAATTAAAGTTGATCCGACATTGTGATCAAGAAATAATAACGAAGAAAATTATTCTCTTCTTAAATATTAATTGGTAAGTATAAATTTTAATAAACATAATCTTTGGATATCGACAGGAATATAGATCGATATTTTATTATTATTATTTTTATTTATTTTAGCATCATTTTGAGTTAATAATCGATAATGATTGGATCATCTCATCGTATAAAACTCGAAAAGAATTTTTAAAATTTTATATAATTATTCTAAAAATAATAATTAGAAGATGTACATATATATATATTTTTTTTAATTCAAGTACGAATTAATTAGTTTTATCGACGAGCTCGCACGTCGCCTAAACGTGGGACTAAAAAAAAAGAAAAGAAAAAAAAATGTATAAACATAACCGGAACCCCTATCTCTTAACGTGTTTAGCGATGTAAGGTTATACGATAGTCAATGTATACACGAAATTGCGTAACAATTTAATCTCGTGATTTTATTTAACCTTCCATCTCGAGAACTTATGAATGCAACCGTTTAAAAAAAAAAAAGAACAAGAGAGAAATTAATCGCTTTATAAAAATTGTAAATAAATTTTTGGATCTCTACATATCCGTTCGGACAATTACTAGACAATAGGAATAATTTTAATTCCGATTGAATCGTGGTAAAAAAAATTTTATCCATCGTGTTATTATTAAAATCATCGTTCAACACCCTTTTTATAATAAAAAGAAAAAAAATGGAAAGAAATCCATCTTCTTTTCTATCCATCGCTGCATTCACGAGTACTCGAACGAGAAAAATGTAAATTTTTCCATCGTTATATTTGTAACACTATGGAAAACGAGGATTTTTTTTCAGATAGATTAATTTACGCTTGTGACTGTGGGAATAATATCTAATAATCTAATCATTTTCGTTTCGAAAAAGAGAAAGAAAAAAGCATATGAAAATATTTTCACTTTACAAATAATTTTTTTTTAAATTATATTCCAATTTTTCTTTTCCAAATCGAAATTTCCTTTAAAATTTAATGTACGCTTCCCACGATCACAAGCGTACTCGTTTCATCCTCGATCGATCCCCGCGAATGTATCCCTCGAAATACGTCCCCAACGTAGAATTCGTTTGCCACCTACCTATGTTTTTACTTTAAAAGAAATTATCGTTATATTTTTCATCGCGTCTCAATTTTCATCGAACCAATTAGCAGGAGAAAGTGTGTGTGAGGGAGAAGTGCCACAATGGAGGAGAAAAAGAGTCACGACGAATGGAAGAAAAAATGGAAGCGATAAGAAATTTATGGGGGTAAGGGGAGTGAGAGAGGCGTGCCTAGTAAGTAAAAAAAAAGAGCGTTTTAAATAGATCAGAGAAAAGATGAAAATATGAGACGTGAACGCGATCGATAACGCAATAGGAGGCGATTAATCGGATCGACGATCAAGAGGTTAAGTGATCGAATACGGCTCTTCTTCTTGCGCGAAAATCGGCCGTCGATCGAAAATAAAAACGTTGTAACCTGTCATAAATTGGTTCACTTACCGAAATAAAGATCCTGTAAATATTAATTGGTAAATATTTTTATTGTATTTTTTAACACGTATGCGTATGCCGAGCGAGATTTGGAAAAGTTTCATTTTTATTCGGGGATCTAATTTGGACGAGGAAGAGCGATAGAGATAGAATGACAGAGAGCGACAGAGATATAGATTTGTAATTTAACCGATGAGTGAGCTTCGTCGATACTTTTTGTGTACTAATTTTTTGTGCTTGTTCCGCCCTCTTTAAGAATCTTTCTAAACGTGTATAAGTTGTAGAACGTAGAATTTTTTAAGATACATACTCTTTTTGAACAAATAATTTTTTAACAATCTTTAATTCAATTTTTCTTGCCGATTTATTTTAACGATTGAAAATTGTTGCTCCATTAGTTTTCCTCTGCTCTATCAAAAGTGTATATATATATATA